GAGGGTGTGGGGAGGTTAAGTAGGGGAGGGCATGTGTGGCTTAATACTAGTAACCAAAGAAACCAAAATTAAAACCATGTTTCACTTTTCAAGTTGAAGAACATTGGCCAGGTATGGTGGCTCACATCTGTAATCCCAGTATTTGGGGAAGCCAAGGAGGGCAGATCACAAGGTCAAAATATCGAGACCATCCTGGCCAACATGGTGAAACCCCATCTCTACTAAAAATAAAAATAAAAATAAATTGCTGGGCATGGTGGCCGCGTGCCTGTAGTTCCACTTACTTGGGAGGCAGAAGCAGGAGAATCACTTGAACCCAGGAGGCGGAGGTTACAGGGAGCTGTAATTGCGTCCCTGCACTCTAGCCTGGGTAACGGAACAACACTCCGCCTAAAAAACAAAACAAAACAAAAAACTGGAGAAGATTGAGAGTAATTTGTGTTGAGAGGAGTTAGATGTTAGATTTAGGGAGTGCTGATGATAATAGAGATTAAATCAGTATTTCCAGAAAGCAATTTGATTATTCAATTTTAATGTGCACGCATGTGTTTGTGGGAACCTAGCCTGCAAATGTAGTTAGAAAACAGTGTGGCCAATATTTGTCTGCAAGAAACATCATCCTCGGATTGTTTAAAATAATGACAATGTTGTAAAAGGCAATTAGTAACAACACAGGATTAATTTTATTATTGAACAACCATTGAATGGAATATTATGCCATCATTACCATAATTTTTGAGAATTCCTTAGGCCCTTGGAAAAAACTCATAATGCAATCCTCAGCACAGAGGCAAACTATTAAACTACATAATAAGTATGTTTGTATATAGAAAGAATAAAACTCCAAAGTACATTTTTTTAGTATTTTTACAGTGAGCATTATTTACTTTTATAATCCGGGGAGACAAACCATTTAAAACCTGCCCATGAATTTAGAGGAAGGGAGGAGAGACAGCACATAGAAGGCATTCAATTGACCTTTACTGAAATGATTTGATTTAAAATGAAATAAGAAACTTGTCATAGTAGAATATCAAATCTTTGAGCTGGGAGGCTTCCTGCAGGTCACTTGGTCTAGTCAGCCACAGTAAGCAATCTCTAACTTAGCCAATTGATATTGGTAGATTCATTACCTGTAACTGCTTCTTGACTGCTGATTTGCTATCTCCTGCAGCAGTTCTGCTTCTGTGTAACATTGCCTGCAGATCCTTCCCCCATTTGGATCTTCATATTGCTTCCTCCATAAGTACTCTTATTTTTTTAAAAAACTGTCTAAAGGTACTCTTAAAAAAAAATCCTAGGGTGTTAATATTTTCAATATTAAACTACTCAAATTGCAAACAATTGAAAAAACATCTAAGCTTAAGTTTGAGTATTGCTTATAGAAGTAGTGTTTGTTTAAGGGTTTGGCTTTGTAATCAGACTGCCATGAGCAAGTTGCTGTTATGAGTTTCCTTGTATGTAAAATGGGGTTAATAATATCTACTTCATAGGGAAAGGTTTTTAAAAATTAAATTTGTCAACAAACACAATAAGTCTTGGACTAAAGTAAAAGTTTGATAAATGTTATTTAGAGACATATGGTTTCAAGACAAGACAGAGAAAATATACTTCCTACTCATCTTGATAAATACAGCAAAAAACCTAGGACATTGTATATCTTTAAGTCTTGAGTCTTAAAGACTACAAGAAGAATATGCCATTCTTTCCACCTTCAGGTAGATTACAGTGTAATGAAGCAAACATCAGAGTGGAGCAATACTGTAAGTTAATGTGAAAACTACTATGCTGGAGATACCTACACGGGAACTACTTGCGGAGGGTGGTGGTCAAGTGAAGGACAACCACAGTAGAAGCTGACTGAATTCAAGGAACTGCAAACTTTGTAATTCAGTACACCCGGAGTTGTGAAGTTGGATGAGTGGAAATGAAACAAAGTAGATCAATGGGTTTTGAATGTTATCTAGAGCAGGGGTCCCCAGCCCTAGGGTCATGGACTGGTACCAGTCCATTGCCAGTTAGGAACTGGGCCACTCAGCAGGAGGTGAGCGGCAGGAGAGTAAGCAAAGCTTCATCTGTATTTATAGCCACTCCCCATCGCTCAGATTACTGCCTGAGCTCCAACTCCTGTCAGATCAGGGGTGGTGTTAAATTCTCATAGGAGTGCGAGCTCTATTGTGAACTGCGCATGTGAGGGACTTAGGTTGCATGCTCCTTATGAGTTGCTAATGTGTGATGATGTGTCACTGTCTTCCATCAACCCAAGATGGAACTGTCTAGTTACAGGAAAACAAGCTCAGGGCCCCCACTGATTCTACATGATGGTGAGTTGTATAATTATTTCATTATATGTTACAATGTAGTAATAATAGAAATGAAGTAATAGAAATGAAACCATCCCCTTTTCCCACCCCGGGTCCATGGAAAAATTGTCCTTCATAAAACCAATCCTTGATGCCAAAAAGGTTGGGGACCACTAATCGACAAATACATCATTTTTATCTTGAACTTTATAGAAACATATTAAATGATTTTGAGCACCATTTGAAATACCTCCATGGACGTATTAATATTGACATTGAGCAAAGCCATTATAGCAGCATAGGGAGGTGGCTTGAGTGAATGGGGTCAAGTCTAAAACAGGGAGATTAATTAGGATGTAGTCATTGTAATCAATGAGAGAACCAAACTATTATAGAGACAATAAAGGCAGATGTGACATTACATATAAATGAATATGGAGAGTGAGGGTACAAATCTGACTTTGGAGTTTCTAATTCAGGCCACTGGATGCAACATATTTCCTTGAAATATAGAAAACAGGAGGAGGAGCAGGTTTGTAGTTGGGATGGGGCTTTGGAGGTGGAAGTGGGGTGAAATAAGTATAGTATTAGGCATGCTAATCTTTTTAAGTAAAGGTGTCAGGCAGACTCTCAGCTATAAGGTATGGAGCTCAGGAAAGAAGGTTAGGGTTGGAGATAAAGGTGGAAGTTGAAACCAGAAGAGTATAGACTTCACCCATGGAGAAACTGTTGCGTGAGCAAAGGGATGCATATGGAACGTGAGATATCACAGCCAATAAAAGATGAAGAAAACAAAATTCCATAAACGTATTGAAAAAGAACCGGCAAAGAAGTAGGAGAAGAATAATGCAAATAAATGACAAAGTGAATTCTGTAGAATTGAGGGAAGCCCCTTTTTTGGGCAAAATGTCGTGAACATAATTGAATATTGATCACAGAATAGTAGAAGTCATAAAGGAAAAGAGAATGTTATCAAGAAGTATTCTAGCAAGTAAATAGTTCCCCTGTCAGTGGTGTTTTTTTTTTTGTTTTTTTTTTTTTGTTTTTTTTTTTGTTTGTTTTGTTTTTTTTTCAGGAAGAAAGATAGACACACAGATTTAGTGGGAAATTCTGTAAAACATATTTCCTTATTTCTACCACAGAATGACAACTTTACCTGTTAGTGTGTTAGATGCTGATGGCTACAATTATACTGTATAACCAGGAACCAGAAAAATCTCTGTAGCACAAACTATTCAGAGTTTATTTCCATGTGTTTGCAGGTTGTCAAGGCATCAGCTGATCTAGGTTGGGGGTGTTTGGGAGCATTGCTTCAATACGTGAATCTAGCTGAGGTGGGCTCCCTGCTGCTTTTGGGCTCTGTTTCCACCTGCAGATGTTCATTCTTGGTGCCATGTTGAGGAGGGAGCAGTTATACCCTGGGAGGCTGTTCCTGGAGAAGGTAGAGGTGCAGAAAAGCTAGCCTCTGCTTGCATCATGTCTACTGACCTTGCATGAGCCAAAGCAAGTACACGGATGGGCCCCAAATCAAGAGACATAGTTTCCACTTATGGAGGAAGGGTCAAGGTGAAGAGGCAAAATACTTTTGCTAAGAGTAGGGTACTGGGAAGAGGTACCATTTTTGAACAAACATGAGATCAATCACATGGGAAATCAGAATCATGATATTAATTACTTCTGTGCTAGCTGTAGGTAGTCAAATTTGCTATTATTGAAATATATAGGGCCATTTGACCCTGATTAAATGATTCTTCCTCCTGCTGCTTTCTGTGGCTATTATTTTTTAATGCTTCTGCCACTATCTCTATAGCTGCTTTTAATCCACTGCTTCATTTCACACAGGGCTCTTTGAGCAAATACCTGAAACTGATACTCAGTTATTTAAAAAGAGTTTTTCTTCTTGCTTCAGTATACTTTGCTGTTATTTTGCATTGTTACAGTATTTGGTAGTCTGACTTTAGAAGAAATGGACCATTACTATACTTGCATATTTTATTCTAATCCCCATTTTACTAAAAACGCATATATAAAGCCTTTTCTTTTGGAAAAATGAGTTATATTTCCTTAAACAGTTATTCCATGTATCTACATGATGTCTGTGTTTTCAAAGGAAAACATTGATTGATTAAGAGACGAAGAGCACTGAATTACAAAGCTTTATAAAAATATTTTATGTGAGTGTCCCTTCTTTGTTCAAATTATGAAGCATTTCAAATGTGCAGAAACATTATTCTTCATGAAATTGAAGGCATCGCAGTTAACTGAAATAAAAAAATATAGCTGTTTCAGCGAAAATAATTTTCAGTAAGTTGTTCTATTTGTAGCAGGTACCAAAACTTGCATCACACATCTGCCATTTGCCCTTTCACAATCCCCAGTGCCTCTCACTACACTTAAAATTTATTTCATCTATGTAAAAAGGGTGATGTTTGTGATCTATACTCTAGTTTTATTCTAAGCAATAAAATCCAGAGTAATCAGCTGGAAGTAGTGGACATCAAAATATATATTTATTAAAATAAAAAAGTATCCTGTGTACCATTTTAAATATCTAGTTTACAGATGTCATTACCTGACGTAGAATGCACTAGGAACATTGTTTTAAAGCCAGCTCTATCAAATAAGAAATATAACTTAGTTAAGTGACAATATGCTTTTAAAGCAATCATTCACTTTTACTTTTCAATTATTTTTCAGGTTTGTGGAAGGAATGCTTAACATTTGTTACAATGCCATTGATCGTCACATTGAAAATGGTAAAGGGGATAAGATTGCCATCATCTATGACAGTCCTGTTACAAACACTAAAGCAACCTTTACCTATAAAGAAGTTCTGGAGCAGGTAATATCATAAACTTTTTATATATATTGGAAGTCATATAGAAATCACTTAAATATCATACATTCTCATTGTAGAGACTTGAATTCTCTTAATGCATTGTAATATGTTGCCATGTTTTACTTTTGATACGTACTGGAAATGAATACAGGTTGTTAACTCATGTAGACAGTTTTTATAGCCTTCAGTTTATGTTTTACAGTTCTAAATGCTAATTTTACAGGGAGAGAATGGCAAATTCTGAGAATCTGTGTCAATCTTCTTCTGATCTTTGCTCTTCATTCACATTACCATCACCGTTGGCTGCTCTCCAGATCTTGTATTTTTGAACGAGTCCCCTAACTGCCTTACCTGTCACCAGATTCTGCTCATGTTAGATGATCACCAGAGTGTTCTTCCTAAGAAACAACATGTTTCTCTATGCCACTTAACAATGTATTTCTTAAAAAATGCTGTTATCCAGAGAGTAAAATCCATACTGCTGTGCTATCTAAGACACTTTGGAATCTGGTCATAGCATTCCTTCCAAGCTTCATTTTCCAAAATTCTTAGCCATGCACACAACCCCTTTTTTTTCCACCCTGGATGTTCTGGTTTTCTTTTATACACTCCCAGGCCTTTATTATATGTTCTTAGACTACATTCCTTTGAATATATTTCATTCATTTGGCTTATTTGCTCTTTTGAACTCTTTCCCATTTGTGTAGTTCTTAGGTGGACCATGATATTAAGAGATGAGTTATTTTTCTCTTTTATTAACTTTAGGGTAGAAATAAGGTTTCAGAAGTAATTATAAAAAGTATTTGGAAATTGTGGACTGTGGGAAAGTTATTCAAACTGTGAAACTTTACTTACATATGATTTAAGGAGAGAGAATGGTGTAAGGCAGGGTTTCTCAATTTTGGCACTATTGATATTTTGGAACAGAAAATAACCAGTCAAGCCAGAGTGATCAGGCAAGAAAAAGAAATAAAGGGTACTCAAATAGGAAAGGAGGAAGTCAAATTGCAGACGACATGATTGTATATCTAGAAGACTCCATCATCTCAGCCCAAAATCTTCTGAAACTGATAAGCAACTTCAGCAAAGTCTCAGGATACAAAATCAGTCGTTCTTGATTTGGCCCTCTTTAAGTCTGTTATTGATGCATAGGAATGCTTGAGATTTTTGCACATTGACTTTGTATACTGAGACTTTGCTGAAGTTGCTTATCAGTTTCAGGAGATTTTGGGCTGAGATGATGGAGTCTTCTAGATATACAATCATGTCATCTGCAAATAGAGACAATTTGACTTCCTCCTTTCCTATTTGAATACCCTTTATTTCTTTTTCTTGCCTGATTGCTTTGGCTAGAACTACCAGTACTATATTGAATAACAAACAGATGGAGAAACATTCCGTGTTCATGTTTAGGAAGAATCAATATCGTGAAAATGGCTATACTACTCAAAGTAATTTACAGATTCAACACTATCCCCATCAAGCTACCAATGACCTTCTTCACAGAACTGGAAAAAAAAAAAAAAAAAAAAAAAAAAAAAAAAAAAAAAAAAACACCTTAAACTTCATATGGAACCAAAAGAGAGCCTGCATAGCCAAGTCAATTCTAAGCAAAAAGAACAAAGTGGGAGGCGTCACACTACCAGACTTCAAACTATACTACAAGGCTACAGTAATCAAAACAGCATGGTACTGGTACCAAAACAGAGATATAGACCAATGGAACAGAACAGAGGCCTCAGAGGCAATACAGCATATCTGTAGGCATCTGATCTTTGACAAACCTGACAAAAACAAGCAATGGGGAAAGGATTCCCTATTGAATAAATGATGTTGGGAAAACTGTCTGGCCATGTGCAGAAAGAAGAAACTGGACCCCTTCCTGACACCTTACGCTAAAATTAACTCCAGGTGGATTAAAGACTTAAACATAAGACCTAACACCATAAAAACTCTAGAAGAAAATCTAGGCAAAACCATTCAGGACATAGGTGTAGGCAAGGACTTCATGACCAAAACACCAAAAGCATTGGCAACAAAAGCCAAAGTAGACAAATGAGACCTAATCAAACTCCACAGCTTCTGCATGGCAAAAGAAACAGTCATTAGAGCGAATCAGCAACCAACAGAATGGGAAAAAAATTTTGCAGTCTACCCATCTGAAAAAGGGCTGATATCCAAAATCTACAAAGAACTAAAACAGATTTACAAGAAAAAAACAAGCCCATTGAAAACATGAACATGAACAGACACTTTACAAAAGAAGACATACATGAGGCCAACAAACATATGAAAAAATGCTCATCATCACTGGTCATTAGATAAATACAAATCAAAACTACATCGACATACTATCTCATGCCAGTTAGAATGGCGATCATTAAAAAATCTGGAGACAACAAATGCTGGAGAGGATGTGGAGAAATAGGAACACTTTTACACTGTTGGTGAGAGTGTAAATTAGTTCAACCATTGTGGAAGACAGTGTGGTGATTCCTCAAGGACCTAGAAATAGAAATTCCATTTAACCCAGCAATCCCATTACTGGATATATAGCCAAAGGATTATAAATCATTCTACTATAAGGACACATGCACACGAATGTGCATTGCAGCACAGTTGACAATAGCAAAGACCTGGAACCAACCCAAATGCCCATCGATGATAGACTGGACAAGGAAAATGTGGCACATATATACCATGGAATATTATGCAGCCAAAAACAATGAGTTTGTGTCCTTTGTAGGGACATGGATGAACCTGGAAACCATCATTCTCAGCAAACTGACACAAGAACAGAAAATCAAACACTGCATGTTCCAACTCATAGGTGGGTGTTGAACAATAAGAATGCATGGACACAGGGAGGGGAGCATCACACACTGGGGTCTGTTGGTGGGAAATAGGGGAGGAACAGTGGGGGGGGCTTGGGGGGGAGAGATAGCATGGGGAGAAATACCAGATATAGGTGAAGGTGGGGGGCCAGGCAGCAAATCACACTGCCATGTGTGTACCTATGCAACAATCTTGCATGTTCTTCACATGTACCCCAAAACCTAAAATGCAATTAAAAAAAACACAAAAAACAAAAAAAACAGTCAATGGGGAAGGAATCTCTTGTCTTCTTTTGATTTAATAGTAGGAACTGGGGCCCTGTCTCCCTCTAGGATGCAAACAAGGGGAATTTCAGTCTAATAAGAATGGAGTTCAAATGCTGGGCAGTGCAACACACACACACACATAATAATGCTGCAAATATGTTGTTTGGTATTTTTTATCAGTCTGTAACTGAAAACTGTATTTTTAGAATTAAATATTCAGAGACAGATCTCACATTGGGAGTAAGAAAGGCCCTCTGTTACCAAACGAGCTTGTTAGTCTTATGAGGCTGTGTTCTATTATAAGAGATAATCTTGCGTATTTTTCACATGTACCTCAAAACCTAAAATGCAATAAAAAAAATCAAATGCCAAGTGACATATAGAGAGCTATTTTAAAAGTGCTGACAGTGTCACTAATTCTGCCTGGGAGAAGCAAGGAGGACTTCACTGAGGAGTCTGCGATATATTTTAAATCACTTCTAGCTTATTTTTAATACTTTATATGATATACATTTTATGTAAATAGTTTTAAAAAAAAGAGAATGTCGATTTCCTGAAAACCTATTTTAATCTATGTTTTGTTTCAGGATTGCATTTTCAGCTTTTAGAAGAGGTTTAATCTATGGTTAAAAATTGTGCCTGTGATTTTGGCATATTGCTAAACTCTCATGACTATACTGGCAAATTTTTATTAGTATACAAATATGTAAGTTTATTTACATATTGTAAAAATAGTACCTATATTCACATATTGAAGTTAATACATAAACATTAGAGTCAAGGAAAAAGCTTTAGAGAAACAAGACGAGTTGTTGCCATTCTCATTTTCTGTTGTTGGTTTTCAATTAATTACTTAAGTATATATGACAATTATACATGTATGTTTTGCTTAGAAGCTTTTCTGCTAACTCATCTTGATTTTCTAATATTGAGTGTGGACTTTCAAATCCTTTAAGTGTTTGTGTTGGTTTCCTGGTTTCAGTTTAGCTTGACATCAAAGTACATAAAAGGACTGTTTCTCTCACCTGCTGACAGCCTCTGATTCCCCAGGCTTTTCTTCTCTAAGGTACTAAAGGAAGAACTGTTAGGAAAGAGAGAGAAGCATTGTGTGCTGCTTTGATTACCTGCTTCTGATTCCCTGTGGCCTTTATTTTACTGAGTAGAGAAGACAGAGAAAGAAAGATTTAATGGGTAAATCCATTGAGAACAAACATAGAGAAGTGCCTTTGTACGTACGTTACTTGTTTTACTCTCCCATGTTTCATTTCTCCCGGAAGTTTCTGACTAGATAATACTTGATTAAGTTAGTTTGCATTTCTTATTTAATTAGTGAGCCAACACATTTTAGGCTACCTTGTCTTAGTAACATGGAAGATTTGAAAATTTTACAGAATGATTCAGAAGCAGAGGTTTTCTACAACTGTCATCTTTTCTATAGATCTGAGAATATTTTAAATATCCCTTTATTAAGGTTTTTGTACAGAGATTTGGACCTAGTTCAAGATCCATCATTCATTCAATAAATATTTGTTTCGTATGCCAAACCCTGATAGGAATAAGATACACAAAATAAGTGAACCCATTTCTTATTGTCAAGGAGATGAGAAAACATGTGACCAGGCAATCTCAATATAATCGAATACGGGTCATGATAGGGATTAGTGTTATATTCTGTAGGGACACATGTCAAGGCAGCCAAGTTAATCAGAGGTTAACAGACTCTAGGGAGATTTCTGGAAGAATCAATGCCTAAAATTATCCTAATTGTCTACCCTCTGCTTGAAATAATTTTTCCTCGAGATATCTTATGGTCTATCTTACTTGAATGTTCTGTTCTCAGTGAGATATTTTCTGACCATATTAAATATAAATGTTCCTTTCCACACCACTTCATAAATTTGT